AATAACGCAACACACACGTCTTTTGGCCAAGAAAATTGATAAATATAATACTTTATAATTTATACGATGCACCGAATTCACGTCACACAGTCAAAAATGAATCGGTTTCCTTAGCTGTGCACATGCGAGGAACGTGTCGAAATATGATTGTTGTTTTTTCTATCCCCTCTACCGTTTACGTGGGATAACGGCTCGCTAGCATTTCAACTGTCACTCATATAGTTTAAATTTCTGGATTTAAAAAAAAGAAAAGTATAACACTTGGAGTAAAAATTCCTTGCTGGTATTTATTAGTACACATCTTAAAATAATAAAAAAAATTGTTTCTGGTGTTTTTGTCCACGTAACCTTTAATAAACCGCAAGGCAGGTGACTCATTGAAAAACACAAGTGGAAGTTGTGTACGTAAAATCTAATCTGGAGATACGATCACCTGAAATTAAAAATGCAAAGTTTTTCTTTAAATATATGTAAATGGCTCTGGTATGACCTACGAAAAAGCAAAATATTGAAAATTTGATAATTAGTGCATATTTGAACAAATTTTACCGTATTATGGTGTTCTTCTTCGTTGAAAAACCTGAATAAAAAATAATTGCGTGGACCAGACCGTAGGTCATACCATAAAGAATGTAATTCTGACTCAAACGGACCAAAAATTTTTGAAATTGGTCAAATAATTTTTCCTAAATTGTGTACACCATTCGAAAAACAGAATGGGTTCAAAGTTTTTTTTTAGGTTCTTATGCATACGAAGTTAAGATTATGGCAATAACATTTAATTAGCGATTCTTGCTCCATAAGGAAGTCCTTCGACTTCCTCAATTAACTGCTGTAAGTCCGATTTTCTTTTCTTTCTTTTTTTAATGCGAGCTTCTTTCGACGCTACAGTGCTCGCTCGCCTTGTATGCTCGATATGCTCTTCGTCGCGCTTCTCGGCGTAAGGAAGTTCACAAGGAACATTGGTTCACAGTACAAACAAAATTTTTATTAACGTGAAGCATCATTCATTATAAATACAAACTATCACATTTCTACCATTAAAAATATGTTTCGGCGCGAATTGTCACAAACTACAATTGTAACTCGTTATTAATTTGCATATTTGACCATAAACATCATTTCAATAATTCCTCTTCAGTCAAGCTTGCAAATATTAGCCTTATTACTTGTTGTACATCTTCTAGAGCAAGTTGGTGTGTGTATTCTTTGTTTTTGTTTGGTACTGAAAATATTTACACTAACTGATCCGAACATCTCTCAAGCGTATGGTTGCAAAGTCTCTACTTTTAAGAATTTCCTTTCCAAATTTTTACAGTATACTCTCGCAATGCTATACAGTCAGAATATGTGAAAACAAACAAATAGATTTTTTGATCATTTTACATGAGAATGTACCCTTAAGGGGACTCCCCCTGCTATTTTCTTCGCGATTCCGATCAATTGAAACTTTTTCAAAATTTTGTTCACACATCATTTAGTAAACTAATCCTTCTTTCACAAAATAACTCAAGTCATTTGGGTAAATTTTTAAAAAGGTGTTCTGTTTTAAAGGGTGTGCGAATACTTTTTTTGGCACACTGTATGACAAATGGGCATCGATTTTTTATTTTTAATTTTTCGATTTTTTTCCTCGTGTTTGTGATTTCAAACCAATGTGCGTCTGACCGCTCGAGTACATTGTGTACAGCATCGTGAGTCGTTTGAAAGTGAACGCGCCGCGAAAAGCACGAATCGAGAGCGAAAGTTGCGCGAGACAAATACAGGGCAGGGGCCTAGTAGCCCACTTTTACTCGGCCTCAATTTCTCTCACCTACATCTGGCCGCCCGACGAACGACTTGGGAGTTTCGTTTCGGTCCGTTTTCACTTTCGCTGGCTGCTGCCTGACGTCCTGACCCGACCCAACCGAGATTTCTATTAACCCGGCGCATGATTGTGTCGAACAGATCTCTCCGAGGAAACTGGAGTGTCCCGGGTCAGGATCACGTTCGCTTTCGCCGTACGCTCGTTTTCCTTCTTGGCCACTTTCAATCTCTGCCACGTTCGATTTCGTTTAACCTTCTCTCAAGGAATCTTCGTGTACAGAATATATCGAATATTGTGATGCAATCGACAAGACGCGTATTCTTATGCAAAAATAAGTGAAAAATGTATTGTAGAATGTAATTTTTTCTTTGTCAACGTCACTTTATTGTACTAATCCTTTTTTCAACAACATGTTGCTATGTTTTTTCGACAATTGACTTGATATTATTAGCGTAATATAATTTGTTGTTTTAAACGTATATACGTCGCACCATGGACGCCATATTGCAAAGTACAGAAGGACCGTTTGAGCCATCTAATATTTTTAAGTACATAATTTGAATTTAATATTGTGTTATTACATAATATATTAGATGTTGTATTAGATTTATGATTGGACTGCAATTTTGATGCGTTTGTAGTATGTAATCCATTTCTACCAACTTAGCGCCTAATGTATGTCAACCTACTATACACTCGTGCTTGCTTTGCTGCCTTTAAAAACACGTTTTATCGTAGATACACGTCGCTATTTTCCTCCTTTATGCGCATAATCATGTGATATTTAACGTTGTTTCAAACTAATGACAAGTTTCCTACCAATTTGCTGAAAGTTAATAGTTTCGAACAATCTAGTCATAGTGTAAAAGTTGTTTTTGCAATTTCTTCAGTTAAAACTAACTTACTGAATTTGTGACTACAAATTGTGAAACGAATTTGGTATTCAAGTAATTTTCCTTCTGATTCTAAATCTATTGACTTTACATACATATAGGGACTTTGTTTTACAAGGAAATAATGAAAGGGTTGCTCAGAAGAAAACTCCCAAGAAGGATAGTGGATTCTTCTGCACGACAACGTGTCAATAATATTCAGCTAATTTTTAGCTAAAAATCAGATGTCAACACTCTTGCATCCACTCTATTCGCCAGATTTAACTCCAATAGTATTTGTAACGCGACTAATATAAGCTGTCTTTGCGCTCGGCACTCGGGGGCTCGCGACTAGGAAAAACCCTAGTTCATGTGCGTTGATTGGACGGGTCTAGCTTCGCCAATGAGTATAAGTATGGGCCATTTCCACTTGCAGGACACTCCCGTGATGCCAGAATCGTGGGTAAACCGCGCGAGCGCTTACCCTCTCCATGCCTCCCGTGGGTATTTTACACAAGCATATTCTAGCCTGTCCGTGAGCTTTGCCCCCACTACGTCCTACTCGGCGACTCACCAACACAAGCGTTTTCTACCTCTGTCCGTGTGCACTCTGCTTCGGGTGTTCTCGGCAAAAGTCCACGTCACGCGTTTACGACGCGACGGCCATGTGTCCCAAGCCAGGTCAAAAATCCCAAATCCCAAGCAACCTAAAGTTTACATCCTAAATGCGGAGAGCTGCATGATTTCTCTCACGCGCTCATGATGAAGACCCCGTCCGAAACCCTGTCCGAAACCCCGTTCGAATCCCGATGCGACGGTTTTACTTTTTATTTTTAATTATTGTATAATTTCATTTTGTAATATGTCAGTAAAATAAAAACTTCGAAGATATTGATTTAAGAAGCATTTTTAAAAAATGGGAGATGTATTTAGTCCTCTTCAATATTTAAATTTTATATTACACAAACTTATATATGTATACACAATTCTCTTATATATACACAAATTATTCGTACAATTAGATGTTACCTTCATTCTAATTATTACAGTACATACATATGAAAACATTGGAAGAAAAATCCATCACATTAATATGTTACATACAGTAAAATGAAAGCTTGGAATATATTAATTTGAGAAGCATTTTCAAAAGTTCAAAGCATTTGCTAAGTTAGTAGTATACACATAAGCAGAAGGCTCAGTACCAAAAAAACTCCTACCCCACCATTCCTCCCTAGAGGAAGACGCTTCCTACGCGTACGGCCCTCTAGGTTTTCTCCCTCCTTCGTTTCTCCTCTCCGTCCCACCCTGAAAGAAGACGTGCAGACGGCACTTTCACGGTCCCTTATCTCTCTCTCTCTCCCACTCACCCCAGTCCGCACGCACCCTCACCCCCACTCCTTCACTCCGAGGTACTGGGACCGAAGCAGAGTTCATCGTGACGTTCGGGGAAAACCACTAACGCAAAATAACCTTTAATCTCCGCGCGTTTGTGTATTCAGTCTGATCGTTGTTTTATTTATTCTTTGGACGAACCCTTCTCCGGGGAAAAAGTGTATATTTGTAAAAATGAACAAACTACTTACAAATTACGTCTACAACTTTTATTTATTTCCAGAAGTCAAATAGCTTGCCGATGAGAGAAGTTATAAGAAACACTCTAAAAATTATTTCTCTAACGCCTTTAGAGAACTTTTAGAACACTGCAAAGTGTGTATTTAAAGGGGAGGCGTTTAGGTAAAGAAATAAATTATTGACATTTTTTTATGTGCAAAATTTATGTTTTTATTGAATTATCCTGAAAACTTTCCGGACAGACCGTGTATATATTTTCATTGAAAGATGTATCCATTGCTATACTTGCTATAGAACACTACTTATTCATCATTTATTGCAGAATTTGAATAAAACGAAGCTAATCATTATATGTATGAATAAATTAAGTTAAATAAAAATCACGGTCAGAAAGACAATTATACCTACTCTTCATTGATAAGAACACATCATAAACTGAATTGTGTAATAATATAAAAATGGTAAATACAAATTTGTTTCATAGAAACGGGAATGTGAAATGTTCACTATATCCTGTGTGTTACGGTAACGAAGTGTATTTACTTCGCCACTTATGCAAAACTTGCGTAGAGAAAATTTGGAATGCCTCATTCAATACGTGACAAATGTGTATTTCCTGTGAAACGAGATGAATCATTGTAATAATAGTTGTAAATTTCGAGCAGCAGGCACGATAAGAACATTTATCACCGAGCGATCGTATAAAAGAACCTTGTAGATTCACAGCGAACAGTAGTATAACAACGTCGTATTACATTAATTGTGAGGTGTTGTTCGGAAATTTGAGAAATGAAAGGTAATTTTGTAAAATTAAATACTTACTAGTGTGTGGAATACTTGAGCAGTTTATATAATTAATAATTTCAGTACACTATACAGCTCTATGTAACATAATTATGGATTATTGTTTTTACACTGAACTTATTAGAGGAGCCTGGTGTAAACGGCTAAAATTGAACGAATTTTTGGGAATTTATTGTGAAGAAAGTATTAAACTAATCTCTTTGAAATTTTGAGAATACTTTATTGTACAATTAAACTGAATACAAACATTTTTATTTTCACGACAAATTCGTAAATATTATTTTGTAAGCACTCATGTACATCCTGTGAGAAAAAAAGGTGTTTCACGCCGAGGTATATAACTAAAGAATATTCAACCAACTGTCCCAGACTTGCACGGACATATTTTTTAACATACAGGATGAACCTATTTTGAAGTTCAAAAATGCAAAATTGAAAACAGGATATTTTTTTAAAAAAAAAGGTAGCTTTTTTCAAGTAAAAAATAATAAAAAATATGGTTTATTGAAAGAATAAAAGTATAAATGTAGATTCGTGCTATGAAGAAGACGTTAAAAAATATGCACATGCAATGCCGGGTCAGTTGGTTGAATATTTTTTTAATTACATTCGCCGGCAGGAAACACCTTTTTTTGCTCACCAGTTGCACATAAATCCTTGTAACCATAATATTTATGGATATGTCGTGAATATACAAATTTTTCGATTCAGTTTAATTGTACAATAATATATTCTCAAAGTTTCAAAGAAATTGGTTTAATAATTTCTTCAGAAGAAATTTCCGTAATAATAGATACAACAATAGTGATACACCACTTCTATGGACTTATGAATTTTTCCATTTTTTTCATTACATTCTTTTCAATGTTTTACAAAATTGAAAATAATTCCATAAATAGGAAGTTTTATGTAAAAACAAGTTGATTGCTGCTTGTACCAGTTACAACACTTATTCAATCTGTTAAGTATTCGACTATTTAATATTTTATAGTAACATGAAAATTATTTAATTCTTTGTCTCGCTTGTATTCATTTTCTGAATGTAAAACATTTTGAATATAAGCAAATAATATATTTGCAAATAATATTTCATGCAACATGAATTTATGTTGTTACAATAAGGAAAAATGGTAATGTAAACACCATTACTGACTATAATATTTTAAATATAACAATTGACGAATAATACAATTAAAGAACAGTGATTATAAATCAAAATATCACAAAAGGAAGATACTACAGTCACTTTTAAGGAAATATTGACTAGTATAATCACGTAGACCGTTATAAAAACCATAAATTTATTTTTTTCTTTTAAAAGATACAAATGAAATTTCGTAAGGCCGAATAATACATATTGTTAACACAATTTTAGCGCATACCATAGAAGTAATAATACATTTTTAACCGCAAACATAATAACGTGCAACTTTCTTGTTGACAGGTATCACTAGTCTATTAGTCGCTACTTTATTTCTTTACACCCAGGGTGTTCCTCTGGAAAAATCAGAATGGGAAACTGCACTTGGGAAGCTGCGAGAAGAAAACGGTTTAAAAAAAGAAGAAATACTTCCCTATCCTCGTACTTTAAATGATGCAGAAGACACACCGAAAGTAGACTATAAACAATTGTTTTTGAAGAAGTTTAACCACCGTAACCACAAAAATGATAACACAGATACTGGAAAATGGAAGCTACCAATTCCTTCAGACGTCCTTTTACGACTCAAGAGTGGTGATTCGAGTATACCTCGTAAAAATAGTGATCGTATCAAAAATGATCACAGAACCGATCTTAAAAAAGAGAACTCGGATGAAGGATCCGATGGAAATTCTGATGAACATGTTCCCATCGAAAAAAATTACGACTTGAAGGATTCTTCTGGCGAAAAGGCACACAAAAAAGATCGTCATGCAAAAAGGTCAGCCAGAAGAAAGGATTCTGACGAAGATACTAACGAGAACTCTGACGACAATGATAACGATACGAGCAATTCTAACGTTAAAAAATCACACGAAAGCCATCGAAGAAGAAATTCAAACGGAAGGAATCATTGTGAACAAAACTCACAAGAAAATGATTCTGACGAGGATTCCAACGAGGATTCTGACGACAATGATAGCGACAAGAGCGATTCTAACGATAAAAAATCCCACGAAAGCCATCGTAGAAGAAATTCAGACCGAAGAAATCATCGTAAACAGAACTCAAAAGAAAATGATTCTGACGAGGAAACTATGGAGGATTCTGGTGACAATGATAGCAACGAAGATTCTGACGACAATGATAGCAACAAGAGCGATTCAAACGATAAAAAGTCACACGAAAGCCATCGTAGGAAAAATTCAAACCGAAGAAGTCATCGTAAACGGAACTCAAAAGAAAATGATTCTGACGAGGATTCCAACGACAGTGATAGTAATGAAACAAATGCTAGCGATAATGAACCTTGCTCGGAGGATAGCGACGAAGATGATTCCTCCAATGACAAATCGAGTAACAGACGTAAGCAACAAGAAATAAAGGAATTTTATTTAAACCTACGCAATCAGCACAAAATCAACGAGCCTCCAGCACCCTGGAATTGGAAAATAAAACCCAACGGCGTACAAGAGTTTAAAGAAAACCAATGGAAGAAACATTTAGAACATATCTTGCAAATTCAAGGAAAACGGACGGAGATAGAACGCAAGATAGAAGATGTTAAAAATCAAGGAAACGTACTGTTGGCGAATCTTTATGCTAACAGATGGAAGAAGCAAGAAAGAGACAAGTATTTGATTCAGAAGAAAATGGATGATATAAGTAAGCATATATTAAAAAGTGAACGGAATTTAGCCGTACAGAAAATAATGGACATTTGTAATATTCGAGCAGACATGGATACTTATGTCAAAATTCAATTGTTAAAAGAATGTAGAAGAAATAATATTCTTGCGTGGAAAAACATTATCAATGATTCGTCGCTTATTAAACCGAAACCGTCAAATGGTGAATGGAAAGGACCGATAGAAAGAGAGAAAACTACGGTAGACAATTATATTAAGCTTCTGGAAATTTTAACGAAATTGAATAAGGAGAAATTGAATGAGGAAGCTATATTGGCTATATTGTTGCACGGGATAGATGACGTGTTAAGACAAAGAAATAATAGTACAAATACGGAATCTCCAGTAAACAGTGATTCGACAGTTTCGGCAAGTACAAGTAACAGCAACGAAACCAGTTCAAACGGTGTTGACAGTGCAACTGATCCAGTAACCAGACCAGGAACATATTCGGACAATTCTAAAGATAACGGTATCACGGAAGGTAAGATTGCGTAATGCAAGCATTAAATTTTATGTTCCCTGCCGTATTCAGTGTACACATTCTATCATGTAAACATTAGTATCTACAATTAGACAAATTTAAACTCACTACGGATTTTGTACGTCTATACGACATACGACTAATTAAAACATAGCACGATAAAATTTTTTATTTTTCACGAAACTTTTGCTTTATTTTAAATGGAATGAAACAATAAATATTAATAAAATATTCAATACGGGAAGTAAATTTTTGTTTAATTCCTAAAAGATACCATTCCTACATAGTTGGATGCCTAAAAGATTGAATTTCTTAAAGGTACATCAAACAATGGGACGACTGAGGCCGCAGATGATGATTCGTTGGGCAAAGGTGACGAAGCCTACAATGATAAAAATCAACAATCTGATTCACAAGGTTCTAAAACTACATCAGCTAATGATCAAAAAGTAGAATCACAAACTGATGAAAATGTTTCAACAAACGGAGGATCAAAAAGTGGAGATCAGGATTTAGCAACAGAAGGTCATGTTACAGAAGATATATCAAACAGTGGAAAGACTGAGACTGCAGGTGGAGATTTGTTGGACAACAAGGCTTCCAATAATGAAAATCAACAATCCACTTCATCGACTTCTGACACTGTGACGTCACGTGATGATCAAGAAGTAGAATCTCAGATTGATCAAAATATTTCAACGAACGGAGAATCAAAAGTAATAGGTGGGGGACCAGCAACAGAAGCTTACACTGCAGAAGTTACATCAAATGATTGGACGACTGAAGCTGCAGGTGGCGATTCGTTGGACAACACTGACAAAGTCTCCAGTAATGAAAATCATCAATCTGATTCACCGGCTTCTGAAATTGCAACATCGGGTGATGATGAAAAAGTAGAATCACAAACTGATGAAAATGTTTCAACGGTTGAAGGATCAAAAGTAATAGGTGAGGGACCAGGAACAGAAGTCAATGTTGCAGCAGATACATTAAATAATGGGATAAGTGAGGCTGCAGGTGGTGATTCGTTGAACAACACTGACAAAGTCTCCAGTAATGAAAATCATCAATCTGATTCACCGGCTTCTGAAATTGCAACATCGGGTGATGATGAAAAAGTAGAATCACAAACTGATGAAAATGTTTCAACGGTTGAAGGATCAAAAGTAATAGGTGAGGGACTAGGAACAGAAGTCAATGCTGCAGAAGATACATTAAATAATGGGACGAGTGAGGCTGCAGGTGGTGATTCGTTGAACAACACTGACAAAGTCTCCAGTAATGAAAATCATCAATCTGATTCACTAAGTTCTGAAATTCCAACATCGGGTGACGATCAAACAGTAGAATCACAAACTGATGAAACTGTTTCAACGAATGAAGGATCAGAAGTAATAGATGAGGGACCAGGAGCAGAAGTCAATGTTGCAGCAGATACATTAAATAATGGGACGAGTGAGGCTGCAAGTGGTGATTCGTTGAACAACACTGACAAAGTCTCCAGTAATGAAAATCATCAATCTGATTCACTAAGTTCTGAAATTCCAACATCGGGTGACGATCAAACAGTAGAATCACAAACTGATGAAACTGTTTCAACGAATGAAGGATCAGAAGTAATAGATGAGGGACCAGGAGCAGAAGTCAATGTTGCAGCAGATACATTAAATAATGGGACGAGTGAGGCTGCAAGTGGTGATTCGTTGAACAACACTGACAAAGTCTCCAGTAATGAAAATCATCAATCTGATTCACTGAGTTCTGAAATTGCAACATCGGGTGATGAACAAAAAGTAGAATCACAAACTGATGAAAATGTTTCAACAACCGAAGAACTGGAAAATGAAATATGGAGTTCAACAAAAGGAGAAAGTCCTGCAGAAGACACTTCGAGCAATGAGAATGCTACATCCAAAACAGACAACTCTTTAAATAATGGGAACAAGTCTTCCGAAAACAAAGAGAATGATTCTAGTTCAAATACTGGTAAACCATCAATATTGGATAAAGATCAAAGATCAAAGTCTGTTTCAGCAAATGAAGAAGAAGATAATGAAACTACAAATTCGAATACTGAAGAAGCTTCTACTGAAAGTAGCATTGGTAAATCGAACATTGAAGAGGTAGCAATCGAATTGAATAACTCTGGAAACAGCAGCAAAAATCCGTCTAATGATGGAAATGAAGAATCCAGTTCACGTGTTGATTCGCCTTCGTTGACTGGTGATGATCGAACAGAGAAGTCAGAAACCAATGAACCCATTGCAGAGGTAATTACAGAGACGACTGAAAAGAGTACAGCGTTGGGGATGAGTGAAAGTAGTACTGATACAATTGGCGCTATAGCAGTCACAACTGAAGTGATGAACCCTCTAGACGGTAGTGATATGTCCTCTAACGATATCGATGTACAGGGGGACTTAAACACTGAACAGGACATCGCATTAGGTGTTGAAACTGGAGAGCAAGAAAAACAAATACAAAATTCTACGTCACAAGGTGAGGAACAGATAAATATTAGTAAAATAATTAATCATTCGGATAGAAAGTTAGAAACAAGTCCAATTGAACGTAATATAGATACGTTGAATGCTGCAGAGTCTGGAACAGATGGGTCTTTAAAAAATAATGAAATACATTCCGATAACAGAAGTGAATCTTCCCATTTAAACGTTGGACAGTCTGAAGCGTTGGATGTTGTTCGATTGAGAACATCTGTTATAGAACCGCAACGAATTAGTAGGTCATCGAGCCCTGTAGAAATTTCAAGTAGCTTAAAATTGTCTGTAAGAATTGATGAAAGTTTTAGTACAGAAGGACCAAAGGTGGATTCGAATACTAGTACACAAACTGAACGTTCTGAGTCGGCATCAACATTCAACACTATTAGTATAGGAAATACTACGCCACTTGAAATAATTACTGTAAATTCTGAGAATGTACTATTCTAAATATGTATACATATTAAGGTACATATAACTAGAGTCCAGATTTTATGCATTTATTGCGTGCACGATTATGTGAAACTCAGTGGTGTAATATGTATAACAAAAATTTATGAGGTTTTTACTTTACTTACGACCTTAAAGAACCTTCAATAACGAGAATTAATACATCTTAGGAAATCAGATGTTAGGATACAATCTCAATTTTCGGAAACTAGCTCACAGAAATCTATATTTGCATAAAAATCCGAAGTCGATATTTCCGAAGTATTTATAATCCAGAATTTGAATACATATGTAGTTATTATTAGTACTATGTTATTATTTTATTCTAAATGTTCGACTTTAGTTTGTATTAAAAATTAAAACAGTACCTTGTCTAATATTACAAACTCAGTATTCCTTCACTGATCATGTGTTACTGTAAGAAAAGTTTATACAGAAGTTTAACATTTACAGTAAAATAATAATATTTTAATTAAAATGGTCACTATTAATAAGTACATAGTATATTCAAATTTAGGATTATAAGTATCGTAATATGTTTATTATTTATTAAAGTGTAGTGATGTATCGAAGAAAAGCACTAAAAATGAAGATACTTTTATACTTTCACTTTTAGTTCTATTATAAGGAAAATTGTAAGTAAAGGTCGTGTATATTATACGATCATGCAGTGATGTAATATTATGTTTACGAAGAAATTAATTAATCTGATTAGTACTTTCAATTAGTTCCTTCATAATTATTGTCAGATATTATTGATATATATTATGTAACCAATAATTTAGATTATCAATCTGTTGCAGGCGACAGCGACAGAAAACGATAAATCGAAGTGACGGCAGAAGGATATACTTAAATCAATTTAGGAAAAAATGAAACTAAATACAGCAGTTAAAGAATAGAATAGTTTAAATATATTCACCATATATTGATCAAGAAGCTTATAGTTAAACAGACTTATACTTTCGATTCATAGTGTTACATTACTATAAAATTGTAGATTGCTTTTATAATAACTACACAACAAATATTTACGATAAAATTAATACTCTTATTAGTAGTTAGAATTGTATTCTATAAATTAGAGTAGATATAGAATCGAATAGAAGAAACTTTGTACAATATGTCCACACTGTATTACTACGAACAAATTAGAAGAGAAATGTAATTTAATCAAGTTTCAGCGCTTATTAAGTGTCAAAAATTCCTCTAATAAGTGTGACAGAAAATGGTATTTCTGAGCATTATTCGAGGTATAAATTCCTCACAAATCTCTGCAGATTCCGTGACTAAGACGTCACGCGATGTGTACGCACGCCAATTATAGCGCCATTTTTAGAATGAAGAAATCATGTTCTGTACCTTCTATATAGTATAATGCCAGTTTTTCATGCTTATTGTTGAAGGAGTGCGAAAATCACGTAAGATAAGAGTTTAATATTTGAGGAAAATATACATTATTTATAGTTAATTAAATCATAAAATCTGTTAGGAACTATTTGGAGAAAATTGTTCAATTGGCTGGGTCTTCTAGACGATATCAAAATGTACACTAATACCGTTACGAAAAGCAGCAAAATATTTGTCATCGCGTGCGTCATTCGCGTAAGACAAGATAAAAGATGCTGATGAATAAGTTAATTTATGGATGTTATTACATCGAATACCAAAAATTATTGCGTAGTTTATAATATCGAATTGATGTATCGCATTGCAAGATTGAGTAAAATTCATTCAATGCAAAAAGATAATAAGGTTTCATTGGTCATTTTCATTCTTCTTTCCTTTGCTCAAGGTTATGTCCTCTTAAAAAAGACTAAATAGATAACGATGACCTTTGAGTAAACTTTATTTCTTGTGAAGAGATGATAAGTATTCAGTAGTCATTTCCGTACTTCCCTCCTTTTCTCAAAGTTTTAAATACTTCTTTCTGAAAAAAGGAACAAATTAATAACAATACTTAATCATATCGGGAATGCACATAATTACTTAACCTTTGTAGCTTAATTATAAGTTTTAAAATATTATTTATTAGCATTATAAATTGTGCCTTGTATAAAGTAAGGAAAGGATTATTTAAGTAAAAAACAGTGGTACTTTAATTAGCATTAATCCTTATAGCTGCTTCTACTTCTAAATAGTAGTTCTTATTTCAATTATTTTCAATGAAATAATCAACCAAGTTAAGCAAGATGGTTTTTGTACACATATGCAAGGATCATGAAGTTATAATTTAATTAATCTTTTGATAAGATTTCAATCTTTTCTACAGTTCAATTCGATCGATGTTATCAAAACTCTTGTAACATCCAATGCTCAAAAACACGTGTTCAAAATCAGGAATCCTTACTTTATATTGTTGACAGACTCTGACACCAATGACTGAACCATAAGAATATTTCCACTTCATCTTTATCGGTGTTATTTTCGAATTGTAACATGAATCGTATGCAAAATATGTTACTTATTATAGTACTGATATTGGAAGACATTATCTAGAATACTATCCAACAGACAAAAAAGACGAAACACGAAGAACCCACGTACACTGTTCATTGTACCCACGTACACGTTACTAATCATTGTGTCCAGACACAACAGTGAATTCCAACACAAATAAAGTTTGCAAACTGAAACCTTTCATACCATGTGTGAGATACTTCAAAGCCAAGAATATGAATTTTATAATCTGATCATTGCTTTTCAGAAATGTCGATCATCCGTTGCTCTTAAACGAGTGGAAAGTAACAATTACAATACATTGATTTTGACGTACATATGCTATGTTAATCAAAGCTATAAAATTGTATACGAGTCTACCAGTGTTTTGCCAACCTTTTCCGTTTCAGATTTGAAAAAAAAACGTGACTTTCTACTTTTCTTGATGTTTTCCAAAGAAAAAATGTCTGTTATGTCACGTGGTGCAGTAAAATTTTCTTCTAGACCCTTACCTTTTTACATAAATTGAAAAATATCTGGGGGGTCTATTTCCTCCCATCCATTTTTTCCCTTTGATCGTTGTTTAAACGTGTTTACGTGTTCATAATGGAATAATTATACATATATACCATTTTATTCGGGAGAGTTTATGGAATAATTTAACATAGCAATCAACCGAATGGCTATTACTGTTTGAACACAGGAAATGTTCAAAATTGAAAATTTACATTTCTCTTAAAAATCAAATTTCTCGGAAACTGAGGGTTCTAGCGATAAAACGTTTGTAGATTTTATAAAATCTATAAGAAACGGCTATTGAATCTAAGAAGTTTGAAAATAGTTAAAATTTGTTGAACAGTGTAATTTTATGTTTTGTACCTACACGTACCTATCGAACTTTGGTTCTCGTAAACCGATTACCAAAAAAAAAAACGCTTATCCGAACAGACTTGTCGCCCTATTTATTAGTTTGGATAATCGGTGTTTTACTGTACATATACAGGGTGTCTCATCTAAATGGGATCACCTAAATATCTGCGTCATATCCTATTGTTTGAAAAAAACTTCTCAGAACAATGTTGAATTATCTCAAGAGATATATCTAACGGTGGAAAGAATTTTTTCTTAAGGTCATACTATTTACAAGATTTCAGGATCATCGATATTTTGTTAAGTGGAATCCTATACATTTTTTCGATATACCTACAGAGCATAAAAACACAATTTCAGCAACCTTAAGAATCACACGATTCAATCTTGAGATATTTGGATCTGAAGATAACTAAAATTTCCTGAGCATTCATGCGGAACATCGATTCACACATTCAAACGGTATATGTACATTAATTGCCTGTGAATCTTTCGGAAATTTTAATTATTCTCACACGCAATTATCTCGAGATTAAATGATCGAAATGGTGTGATTATTAAGGTTGTTGATATTATTTCGTTAAGCTCTATAAGTACACCGAAAATAAGTATAGGATTCCATTTTAAAAAATGCCGCTGATTTTGAAATCTTGTAAAAACATGACCTTACGGCCCCTTTCCCTTTTAGTGGCCCGAAAAAATGGTGACTTTCAGGAATTTTTTTAAAGAATGCAAAAATATGATAAAAAAAACTTCCTGGCCTTTATTTATTATACATTCAAAGAAATAAAAAAAAATTCGTTTCAATATTCGTGTAGCGATAGGAAATTTTACGTATATTATTATGAATAACGAATGAATTTATGCTTCAAAATTTTCATGAGTAGGTCACGCGATAGTTGATTCAATTATAAAAAGAATGCCACAAGAATTTTTAAAATCACTTAGTAACTTTTTACGTTATGACTGCCACCGTTTATACAGTGCAATTTCGAATCAACATGACTAGAGCCACCTATAATGCAGGAATATTGAAATAAAAAATTTTTTATTTACCTGAATGTATAATAAATAAAAGCCTCAGCATTTCCTAAGTGTCGCCATTTTTTCTGGCCGCTAAAGGGGAAATGGGGCCTTAAGAAAAAATTCTTTCCACTCTTAGATGTGACCGTCGATATAGTTGCAACTTTGTTCTCAGAAAGTTTTCCATACAATATTAATAAGGCAGTACTGTTTAATACTCTGTACAGATCGCTAAAATGAGGCCTAAAAAATTCTCGTCCCCAATCGTTCCTACAATCAGCTCGAAGCATACTATACCCAGACGTTTCGCATATTCTCGTTCCCATCGTGCTGGTCACGTAAGTAACGGCGATATTCGCGTAACGCTCGTGTCCGGCCAATGCTATCTGTTCTTGTCCGTCAGTCATCCTGAGAGCAACCGGTGTTGGTACAGTGCTTGCCCATGACACGTCCTATATCGGTCAGTGATACCTCGACCTGTCCCAGATCGGGGGTCAGAACCAGTGTTGCCAGAAGTAGGGGAAACATGACCACGTAGAGACAAAGTGACGTATGGTAGGGACTACTAGAGCGAATATATTTGTGCTGGGGACGCGACGTCACGCTTTCGTGCTCGTAATAATATTAGCATAGTGTACACAAGTCATATTTGTGTATAATATACACTGTATACCGGATGAATCACGAGAAACAGAACACCTAAATATCCGTGTTAGGATTGAAGATGGAAGAAAATGCCAAGAAGTTGTACTGTTCAGGGAGGCATATTTGACGATATACAAAATGTTCTGATTGTTGCTGTCTTCAAGGTTTTTTGAGGGTCATCGATGGTTTTTCAAATGTCATCATATATTTTTAACTTTATAGTGTAGTAGCTGCTGTCAAGATTAGTTTAACGATGTGATACTATGACATTCAAATGACCTTGGACGAATAAATTTCGGAATCTTCAAATTAGGAAATCGGTCTTTGTAAAGCCGGTTTCTCGAAGACATTAACGACTTTCGTGATACATAGAAATAAGATCGATCTTCTCTTCCTTCGAGTAACGTCTCGTTAAATGGTATATCGATAAACTGATACACTACCGTAATAACTCGATGATAATAACATAAAAATCGAAGACTAAACATACGTACCTGTAGTTAGTTGACCATCGTGTATACGTACGGTTGGAGATCACCTATCGTCAACGGTATACCTAATGGCTTAAGAAACTAAATTTTCATATTTTCCATTGATTATACGAAGTAGTCAAACTATACCTATTTATGAGTGCAAGGTAATTAGAAGATCATAATAAACCACATCGTTGAACTCGTCTTGACATCAGTTACTACACTATAAAATCAAAAAATATATGGTGCCAATTAAAGAGCCATCGATGACTTTCAGAAGGCCTTGAAGACAACAACAAGTAGAAACTTTTTTATATCATCGTATTTCTGTCCTCGAACAGTACAACTTTCCTCTAACATTTTCTTCCATCTTCAATCCTAACGGAGGTATTTAGGTGTTCCGTTTCTCGTGAATCACCCAGTATAGCTCTGTGACGTCACCTTGTCCCTACCGGTAGGGAATTCTCCGGCAACCCTGGTCACAGGCGCGCATTCGCGACTCGGTCAGCAGCACGGCGGTGCGTTCAGTCGCCTCGGTAAAACTATAATCGAGCGACGAAACTCTGGCTTCGTCGTCGACGAAGCGACACCGAGGGAAGATACGAGAAAAGCGTGGATTCGCAAAATCGTTATCGAATCGGGTGCATGGGTGGGTCTTACGGTCGTGGTGTGTCCAAGATATGTGTGGCTATCGGTGGTATTTAAACGATAGCTGACCCCGACAGCCGGTGACTATCACCTCAGATGATGAACTCTAACGGACCGTCGACGGATTAGATCAACGATCTTCGCTGGTGCCACTGAAGAAGTTTTATAATATTTCAGTGTATTCCATAGTTCACCGCGGGTGGCGCGATGTGGTCGGTTCTGTTGGCCTTGACCGTGACCAGCGTGCTGGGAGAAGTAGTGAATGTCCACGTGGATAATGTGAGTTGCAATGTGGATTCTTTACCGAGAAATAACATATTCGACACTGTTTCGAACTATCAAACCAGTTAATATTATTAGTTCATGAACTCTTGTAAATATTATTGAAATTAGCGTAAATGTGTAATTTTTTAAGATTCTTCGGAATTATTATTACAGTATAAATATACAGCGGCTGTCGAAAGTTACTAGCCAAACTGCAATTTCACCATATTTTAGACGTAACTTTTGTCAGGGCTATATTTGTTAGAAACAGAAAAACAGATTATTTTTATGTAAGAAAATTTTTAATATCGCCAAATCTGAAGCAATCGAATCCTTGATATGGGTATATCAAAAGTTTATTCGCATTATATATTTTGAAAAAGATATGTAGATATTACAGTTTGATTAGACACTTTTGACAGCCACTGTAAGTGAAGAAGTTTGTTAATTTATGGATTTGCATATTTTTAACAAGCTGCCCCTTTTACACAGCGTTCACCTGACGGTAGTTCTAGTGTTGGTATAACTTTTTTAGTAAAAACAGAAAGAGTTAAATTGTAATAGCGAATTATAAATGTCACCGCTCTATCACAGATTATATTGTTTTACTGTAATTGTTATATGAAAATATGTCAATCCCGTTTCCCCGTTCTCATAGACTATACATTATTTTGTTACTGTAATGGTTACTACAGCTATATGGAAATATGTCAATGTCGATAACGCAGATTCGCTTATTCAACGTGGACAGTGTAATAAACTTCAATATAATTTTCATGCAATACGATACGGAACAAGTTTCCGTGGTAATCTTTCTAGGAGAATGTGTTAATATATGCAAGACGAGTTCGACGTTCTGTGAGGAAATTTGTGAAAGTATTTTTACAGTGCAAGGTCGTTGTAACAAACGTATTTTGATACATTTGGAATTCCGAAAGAAAAAAGTTATTTTCGACGCACCGTTACAGGTGTTTTTGTCTTCAAGCGTTAGTTGACATATGAATGTTAACATTACTTCCATCCGAATTGATTGATTATGTTATGACAGGTGTTTCATGTGTCTTTTTCAATTATTTTAATTACTTTGTGAAGGCTTCAGTAAATATCATCTTAGTTCAGTGATCGAAGAAACCACCTAGGAATATCGTGAATAATTCGTATTTAGGACCTCTTACTTATAAGGACTTTTATCAATCTCGAAATGCAAGAAATTTCTGCACGTTTTAAATAAAAATCTCGGACCTACTTTCTATGATTTGAAGAACATAAATTTCTGTTGCTAGTTCTTATAATTCCAAAAAAGTAAAAATATTTAGAAAAAGTTAAAATCAGCATTATACCTATATTATTTTGATATTGAAAAGTATTTAATTTCGTAGACTTTTTAGACTGTTTAAGGGAGTAATGTTTCTTATTTCAATAATTTTGATAAAATCATAGGATGTCACTCAATTTATTTATTAATAAGACAGAAAATCTACTAATATTTAATGTTACATAATTTACTTCGTTATATCTCTTTATTCAAATTGCATAATATTTATAACATATCAATCGATTTGTTAGATAACAATAACGTGACATTGAATGTACGATGGATAAATTGGCATTGTTAAAATGAAATACAAACATCTATCGCAAACAATTAACAATTACACACTAAAAATACACCAAAAAATTGAACTTAACTTATGTAATTATAAAAAGTACAGATAAACTTGTAAAATCGTCAATTTATGCAAGTAGCTTTAATAATTTGATTACTCAATGTAAACAGCTTACGAAATTGTAACTTACTAACGAATTAAACGAATGACGTAAAAAACACTTTATTGTTTTTATTATGCTACATATGCATTAACACAATTACTTGCATTTGAAAATAAAAAGAGTCAGACATTAATAATTCCTACGTACGAAACATTCAATACAGAAAGAATAATCGGTAAAATCTTCGTGAGATTGTTTACTTGCTAAAATGATTTATTTAATTGAAGGTTCAAATTTACATGATTATTTTAATTTTAAAACAAGTCAATGTGAAATTATTACGCCGTATGTATTTTAATTTAACAAATAGCAGTGTGCCCTAATTTTAATTATAATTTACGCTGCTATATGTTTACTATAAAGGCAATTAAATCTTCAATTACTGATAGGACAATTGAAATATGATTTGTCCTATTCCCATCCATTCACTTTAGTTCGTTTAGTATTGCAATTCTGTTAAAAAGTTTGTTTCAGTCGATATATTTATAATTTTAGGGTGTGGAACAGAAATTCAGTTTCGAAGTCGACTACCAGAACGATAAATTTTTACTTGACGGTAAACCGTTCCAATATGTGTCCGGCAGTTTTCATTATTTCCGAACGCCGAAGCAATACTGGAGGGATCGTTTAAGAAAAATGAGAGTGGCTGGATTGAACGCCATTTCTACGTAAGTAAAATTACTTTCATCGACATTTATTCGGCTTGTACGCTCGATACAAGTATTAATTTACCTTTCTTTCATACATTATTCATCATGTACAGTGCAACCTCCCGTATCCGAACTAACGGGGAGAAAAGAGTTTGGATAAAGGAATTTTCGAATAATGAAACAATCTTTTTTCTGATACTAAACTTCATTTATTTATAATGAATGATTTCATATTTGGTTGGTTGCTAAATTACAGAAACTTTTCAACAAATGTAATTGCGTAGCATTCGATCGAACAGAGCAAAGTATACATTGTATGTAAGCAGTATACATTTGCAACAGTAGAAGGCATCTGTTGCTGGGAAATACTTTGGTCGATTAACAGAACGTTCGAGTATTATGGTATTCGGATACGAGAGGCGCTACTTTACTCCTACGTATAAAAAGTCCAATATAATAGATATTTTATATATCTAATAACAATGAACACATGAGTTGATTAAAAGTATAAAAATAATACAGTAAATCCTGGATGAGTGTCCGAAGGCTCCTCGGTACTGACAAGAACAGAACCCCAGATGTAACACTGTCTTTTTAATGACTAGCACATTGATAAAGCTTGAAAATCTGAAGCCAATGATATTTGTTTCAGCCACATATAGGCATTAGTTTATGAAATATTTATTGTTTAGTATTCAGGAGCCTTTGAACACACATCGAGGATTCACTGTATGTCTTTACTAGAGGTATGTATATCAACAAAAGAAATATCAGATGACAATTTTTTACTATGTATTACACGCACCCAACCTATAATTTCTTTACATTCTTCGAAACATGATTCATTCGTTATTTAAAATAGTGTATTAACTTATTGATCCTTTTATTCAAACGCGTATGAAGATTTGTATTACTTAAATTAATATTTTTAAATTATCCAGAGGATAACTTCTTCTACACAACAATTTTCTTCGTTAGTTATGTGGAATGGAGCCTCCATCAGCCTTTTGAAAATGAATGGCACTGGTCAGGAGATGCGGATTTAGTAGAGTTTTTGAATATCGCTCAAGAAGAGAATTTGCTGGTTCTTTTAAGACCTGGTCCTTACATCTGCGCGGAGAGAGACTTTGTAAGTGGTTTACGAAGAAGATCGATGATTTTAAACAAAAATAAGCTAACAGCGACTAAATGAACTTTTAGTATTTATCGATTAATTAATTAGATTGTATTGATTATTTGATCTTTTTAATAATAAGTAATCAAGAGAGCGTACGTAAATAGTTAATGTTCAATTCAAAGCAGTAATTAATATGAAGTACAGTATTACATCACTATTTTTGAAATTTCTAATTATTTAACTATTACAGTATAGATACAAATAATTCCTATACTTATTGAATATTAAATTTGTTACTTTCAACCCTATTTCATCTTTAGGGTGGTCTTCCATTTTGGTTATTAACGCGCGTGCCGGATATAAGATTGCGAACAAATGATCCACGTAAGAGTTTCTATTTTATACTTTATAAATCTATCATACTTAGTTCGATATAAATTAAATTTCAAAATATATTGTTTCGCACGAAATATTTCTCTCCTATTTTGTAGGTTATATGAAATACGTTGAAGCATACTGGGACGAACTGTTCAAAAGAGTCGAACCTCTGCTCAGGGGAAATGGAGGTCCTATAATCATGGTTCAGGTACAGATGCAAACATTTGTGCAACTATCAGATCTGTCGGAACGTTCTACCGCGTTTATTCCTCTTATTTGATCAATTTAACATTAAATTTTATAAGGAATGATATTTCCAAATTTCACGTTAACCGGATGAATATTTTCGAAGATCTGCTGGCTGCCAGCAAACGAGATCCTCTCAGATATGACGGTAGATAATCTTGTATAACTCTGCCATTTTATAATTTTAAATAATAACCAATGTGTGAAAATAAAGTTAAAATGTTGCCTAACAGCCCTTAAAAAAATCCCAATAGTTTACTCAATAATTACATCAGGGAAAAAAATTTTACCTATTTTGCAGGCCTACAAGGTGGTGTAGCTACCGTTTTAAGGTTGCTCATGCGTTTGGTGTCATCTCTAGCTTGGGGCTCCATATGGCGCTTTATACTTTTTAACAATTATACCAATTTAATTTATATAATTAATATTTCAAACTACTTCAAAACACTGAAATGGAATAAAAATTTACAAATAAGTGGATGAAACAAAAATTTGTTCTCCTTATTGCAAAAAATTTAATTTTTTTTTGATTTTTAAGAAAAATTTGGAAAGTTTGTCGAACAAACCAAAGTAATACAAGCGACGTTAACGCTCATAACAGACATGCGGAGAAGATACTACCAAATGCATTGAAACCTAAGTTTGCATACTCTCATAAAAAGTGAATAACTTCTCAGTATCAACTACAATTCCATAAGGCTCGTGTTGAAAATACATTTTTATAATGTTTCTTTTCAATTATTTTATCGTTGACCTTGCGATTTCTTGATATAAATCGAAAGTTGAAGCTTCTAAAAATGTTCTGTGAAATTTTTAACTAAATGTATAATTATTAACAATTTGCATGAGTCGTCTTAAAAAGCGAAATTACAACTCGTTTTGAAGTCTCACAATTGCTTTATTGCTACAACATCTTTGTCCCTGTTTCAGATAGAGAACGAGTACGGGAGCTACGGATGCGACACGCAATACATGAATCGTCTGCGAGACATTACGAAAGAAAAAATCGGGACGAAGGCGCTCTTGTATACGACCGACGGAAACAGCGGCAATCTACTTCGCTGCGGATCTGTACCAGGTGTCTACGCGACCATCGACTTCGGAACAAACGTCAACGTGACGTCCAGCTTCGAAACAATGCGTTTGTATCAACCGCAAGTATGTATCAATGATCTGGTAAAGCAAAAACGACTTCTTCAGACGAAGTATGTACAGGGTGTTCATCGTAACGGTCGCCACGATTTTTCGGAGACTTCTGATAATCTGATAGAAAATGTTACGAACAAAACTTAATCACTAGTTAGTTAACAACAAATTGCTGTATTAAAAATGACTCTAAAACGTTTTTTTAATAAAAAATCAACGTCACCTTCACTTTTTTCAATGGCATCATATAATTTTTTGTTATCCGATATTGTAAGTGGCATCGAGACAAATTCAACGATCTCATACACAGTTGTTTTTCTTGAATAATTTGTATAGAAAATCATTCTTTAATGTAATAAGGTCCTTCAATAACGCGTGAGTTAAACATAAACGTGCATGAAGGTGGCATGCAGTTTGAACACTTAATAGATATTCAATGACAATATGATTATTTACCAGGAACATGAGATCGAATTTATGACAAGTCATATTCGGCTCAAACGTTAATAAAGAATCTTATTACATTTAAGAATGATTTTCTAAGCAACTTACTGAAAAAAGAAACAACTTTGTACTATATCGCCGAATTAAAAAATTACATGGTGCCTTTTTTAACAAGTGAAGGCGACGCTGATTTTTTTACTCAAGAAAAGAATTTTTGACAATTTTTAATATTGTAATTCGTTGTCACTTGATTACTGACCAGCTAGATTACTGGAAGGATCCGAATAATCGTGGCGATCGTTACGATGAACAACCTGTATATCTTGATTATCAAAATGCATGATATTCGTAATCATCGAACCGCTCGAAGTTCAATTATTCTAGTGCATAAAGTACTTGACCCGAATTTCTTTTTAGATATTCGTCGATTGATAAGAGATACAAAAATTATCTGTTTCAAACTGATATTTGTATTTGTACATCTTTTTAATCACATTTTATTATTGTTTCTTGTTTCGCAATAACAAAAATACCAAATACCAGAGAAAAAGACGTTAAACAGGTAATCAGGAAATTGTTATGGATTGAAATAGGCTTTTGCATAAAGAAAATATTTTCAATTCAGCAATTGTTCGTTGCGATATTGAAATTCGCATAGATGTCTTCAAGGTTACGATACGTTGTCAGGCAACATCTCGATTAGCTGACGTATCACGTAAGATAGTAACGATTAAGAAATCTGCAACTAATAACAGGGGATCGGATTATGTGAACACACAAAACACAATGCAAAAATAATTTGATTCGTTACATTACGTCATATTAAATAAGAACTATAATTTAGGATATAAACATATTCTTGAAAATGAATATAAACTGTCAAAAAGAAAGAAATTTTCAGAATAAAAAATATTGCTTTCTACTTTTATTTTATAAAGAATAGTATATAAAATTTGAATGTTTTTTCGCGATACTTGTATTATTATTAACTCAAAAATATTCATTTCCTCATTTGTATGTAAATTATTCCCAACAGGGTCCGTTTGTAAACTCTGAATTCTATCCCGGATGGTTAACACACTGGCAAGAACGGTTCAGTCGAGTGAAAACTAATGCAGTTGCAAAAACCTTGGACGAAATGTTGTCTGTTGGCGCATCCGTTAATTTCTATATGTTCTACGGTGGCACGAACTTCGGTTACACCGCTGGTAGGTGTAATTTTTCAATTAAATTTTTTTTTAAATTCTGTTCTGTTCAGTTTTCATTTCATTGACACATATGTAACAAAAAATAGAATTACTTATACAGTCAATGGAGAGTGTAATTAAAAGAGTATAATTATACTAAGTAGAGTGAAAGAATGATATGGAGAAAATATAACTAAAATAATAAACAGAGAAAAAACTAAATATAGAAAATCACCATTTCACATTCTGTTACGTTAGTTTAATTAATAAATAATTCCTCTGGTCTCTCCTAGACACTTAACTAAATTGTTAGAATAATTCAACAGGTGCTAACGGCGATGAAAATGCGTATTCTCCGCATATAACGTCCTATGATTACGATGCACCGTTAACCGAGGCAGGTGATCCGACGCCAAAATATTTTGAAATCAGAAATGTTATCTCCAAGGTAAAAAAAAGTATTCACTTAAAAGTCGTTAACGATATTTAACACTACAGAGTCCTCTCGATTATAATCTGGCTTGTTCTACGCGATTATTGTCCAGGCATTATACCCACCACTGTTGGGGGGGGGGCGTGGACCCTGTTAAGCGCATACTTTGTTGCAGAGATGGGCATAATTTTATTCGAATAATGCATAGTAAAAAGCAGTAGTATCTGAGATCGTCATCCCGACCTTTAAACAGTTCATGAGACTAAATAATTGTTTGCAAAGTATCTACTAATTCAGAAAGAAATATTATTTTATGATAAAAATTGGAATTACCACGTTTAATCAAGTAAAAATGACGAAATAGTTTTTTCATCTTTTATTCGTTATTCGAAACTTTTTATCTAGATAATGAATTTGCCCATCTGCTTTGTTGCCCCTCTGCTCTTGTTGCCGAAGCTCGGGCGTCGGGCAAAAAACGAATTTTTGCGAGGGTCTAAAGCATTTCTCCCTATAAGATTATTGTCCCGACGCGGACATGATTTTAGGACGATAATCGAGAAGAGCCTGTATTACGTTGTCATCAATTACATGCCTTTCGAGTCACTTATCCATTTTTAGTGAAATCATAACAAGTAATAATATTCTCCTATTTGAAAGTTTATAAAATATAGTATTTCCATATAATATGTGATATTGTTCAAAAACACTTATTCGAAATTTGTAACTTGTAACTTCTATAAATGAGGTTATTTATTATTCCTTACATTTCTTTATCACATAAGCATATCTCCACTTTATTCCATTCATAGACTGATTCGAAACTTTCGTCTAGCGTTGTGCATCGAAACTATACAAACTATCAGGTTATTGCATAATAAATGTCGTTTCTGGACTGCAAAGTTGCAATGATAATCATTTTGAAAAATTGTCGATTTCAGTGTCGTAAACACTAAGTTCACTGTGATTAAGAGTACTGAAAAAGAACATTTATTATACAACACTCTAACACCTTTTCGAGGAAGAAACCGGTTTTGAAGAATCGTAGTATATGTATACGTCCAACTGATATACATATATGTATATAAGACTGTGCATCTCTATGCAAATTCATATATTTTTAGACTAATTTATTTAAAAATGATTTTATTAGACATATTCTTTCACAAATAACTACTAAACGTCACTAAAATTCTTGCATTATCGTTTTCAGTACCATTTTTAAAATCCAAGTATTTTATATCTTGCATCCCTGAATCACCTAAACAATAAACCCGTTGTTTCATTTTTTCAGTATTTTCAGCTACCAAACATGCCCCTTCCGACTGTATCGCCAAAAGGTAATTATGGATCGGTTCTATTGTCGCCAGTGGTCAATCTTTTTGAACCGCTTGGTCGCCAAGTGTTTGCAACGGTCGTTCTCGAAAACTCGGAGCCGCTAACATTTGAAGCTCTTGGATTGTCCCATTGGCTGGTGCTTTACGAGGCGGATTTAGTGTCCAGGCCTGCAGACCCAGCGATTTTGCACGCAAACGTTCGGGACAGAGGACTGATTTACGTGGACGATTACTTAATCGGAACGTTAAGTCGCACTAACAAAATGTATGATATACCCATAGAGTATCCTCATGCACAGAAATTGAAGATACTGATTGAGAATCAAGGAAGACTGAACTTTGGAAGAGGACTTCGGGACTTTAAGGTTCGTTAGTTGTAATAGGATTCAAACAGTCTCTGGTCTCTTACATTAACTGCCAAATTTTGAAATTCTCGGTGAATTGAAGTAAATAGTGATATCCTTGTTAAATGAACAAATACAAATATTAAATGTATCAGTAAGTAGTCCACTATTTCTTGTGAAACTTCGTAATTGTTTTGAAACAATTCAGAACCCTTTGATATAATAAAAGTATTTAGTATTTGTTGGTATTGATCTTCGCCATTTTGACCAAGCAGAAGATCGAAATGCTAAATTAAATTGGATTGCTGGGTTAATGAAGTGTATTATTGGGTGGTAATGAACAACACTTAATCATCAACACTCAATTTATTGAAAAGAAAACGAAATAACAAATTGATGACACAACAAAAGAACGAAATAATATTTAGAATCACGCACGCGACAAGGTAACGCGACGTTTACCGAATAGGGCAAGACTGGCTGACAGACAAACCCTTTTCGTCGGTTCCCGTGAGCTTAGAAAGAGGCGCCAAACAAAAGAACAGACACAGTAACATGAAAGACAGATTGTGTGGTTTTAAAATTGATTTTTAATTACAATTTTGAAATTATTGTTAGTGTACATTGGATTACATGTCTTCTAAACTAATGGTTTATCCGTATAAGTAGCTTAACACTTTTTTATAGGGAACGACAAGCTGCATCGACTAATGCATTTAAAGAAAAACATAATTCTATTTAAAACACAAGTTGACCATCATATATCCCCTACGCATCCACCTACAAGAAAGATACATCGAAATATTTCTCCTTCGAAACCATTCAATTCTTACCTGGAACGTTTTTCGATATATTTAAATGACTCGCCCTGTATATTTTCTGCAATAATCGTATTAATCCAGTTGAGTCAATACTACTTTCCACGTTTATCCCTCCAGACTAGAACGTCCCCTTAAAAGTCCTTTTATACCTTCTACTTGTTAATATATTTAGGAAAAATTGCGTATACTGTGTGCTAGAATTTTTTTAATAGTCCAAACTTTCTTTCTTCCTTATTAGGGAGTTTCAGGTGTAACCCTAAACCAAATACCCCTTGGTCCATGGAAAATGACAGGCTACAGTCTGGACAACATCACTCTGGTCCGGTCTCTGCCTGCGAAAACGATGGAAAACGGTACTCTTCGTAAAGGTCCGGTGCTCCTTCGCGGCACCTTCATAATTTCCGGGGAACCAAGGGATACGTACTTGAACACTAGCGATTGGGGCAAAGGCGTAGCTTTCATAAATGAACACAACCTTGGCCGATATTGGCCACTTGTCGGACCCCAAATGACGTTATATGTACCCGCGTGTTTCTTGAGGACCGGCGAGAATGAATTGATTCTCGTGGAATTGGAATACATACCGAACAGTAAGAGGATGATATTACAAACGACACCGATACTTGATTATCAACCTTAATTAAATATCGTATGAAATTGGAGATGGTCAAAAGTTTCTTCTAGGTAAGGACTGTGAACACAACGACTATTATAGGCGTAGAAACCTTTATCTCTTATTTATTTTAATATATGTATACAAATAGAAATTCCAATTGTAGATTAAAATAATTAATTTTTAATTAGTGCAAGGATCAGTCGGATAGTGATTGCAGTATTCTTATTAGAATCAAGTTTTCACCACTTTTATGGAAAATTTAAATGAAAAAGTTGTTCCCTATATTTATCTTTATTTTGTATGCAATTTCTTACTGCGAATTACGATTGACTGTTATTTAAGTTAAAGTCGTTGTACCGAAAAAATAAAGTCATTTCTATATAATTTTATTAATTGATAATACGTATTTCCTAATCAGTACGATTCCCGTTGTGTCCACTGTGCACTGTTACAAAATTTATACATAGAAGTTACGATGGTAATATGTTCATACATTAATTCTATGTAAACGTTAATTACTAATACTATAATTATTTCTACAAACTACGTCCATTATTTGACAGACGTTTTTGTTGTTCGAAATATTCTTTAATTCAAGGAAAAGTTCAATATATTCTAATATCGTTGTATATGTAGGTTACAGATGTAACATATTTCATATTAATTATAGTAATAATTATTTAAACTAAACTATACCATAAGTAATTTATTTGGTATACTGTAAAGGTATCCAGGAGGTCCATGAGTAAGCTGCAGGAACTTGCAAATAAGTTCTGCTCACATCGTCAAACGTAATGGCGCCCATAGTTGTATTGTTTTCCACGTTGGCACAGTTCACGATACTTCGAATTGACGCGTTTAGATCGTGAGATCGCTCATGGGATCGCAAGCTGGTGACCATGGAGAACTGTTTCTTGCATACACTGCAACGATGGGATCGATCTCCTGAAACGGAATAAACGAACTTCAAAATAAACTAATAAACATTGAATTTTACTGTTACATTCAGGACTTGCAATTACATAATTCCTTACGGACCAAAATTGTTTCGGGTCGTTACGAACCAAATTATTGCCGGACAATGTCGAGGAATTATGTTTTTTACATTATAATTTAAAATAATATTATATATGCCTGTACGTTGTACGATAGATTAAATGTCCCTAATACTGCCACTTTATTTATTTTACTTAATAAAAACATAACGTACGAGGAAATGTGTACCGAAGACTGTATTATTAACTCTGTCCAACCGCAGGATTGCATTTGGAATCATTAACTTATTTAGCATTTATATATAAAAAATATAGTTTATATATAAACTATAGTTCATATCATGAACCTGAAGATTCAATATGGCATCGTATCGAATAGTACAATTTTTTGCCGTTAGATGGATAAGTTCTCGAAAATATCATTCGAGACCCGAAGATATTTCGGGACCCGAAATGTTACGGGACCCGAAATGTTACGGGACCCGAAGATCTCACGGGACCCGACATCTGTCGGGATCCCAGTCAACCTCGCCCGACTTCTCCCGACCCGACCCGATCCCGAAATGTCGGGTACCCGCGCACCCCTGAAATTTACATCATGCACCGCAATATAATTCACAGAATACCTTGTATCGTCCAGGGACCGTCAGTTATTTTATTACAAGGTAAATCATTGATAATCAATAAAAATCACCATTGTGTAGTTGCATGTGATGATGCAAAGCCGCTGGCTTACAGAATCCCCGATTGCAAACAGAACATCGCATCGGCCAGTTACCAGTGTGAGAATATCCGTGAGCCCTTAAGTCACCAGGCGTTGGAAAAGAGCGGCCACACTCGTTACATTTATGCGGTTTTTCCTAGATAGATTTCTGAATTAGTATCATACATGTACACAAGATGTTTCTGAATTGCTTGACCAAATTTTATCATTGCATTAAAGTCTGCTACTGAACGTGTGTCAAACAAGTTACATGTTGACACTACATGGTGGTTCAGGTAATGCAATCGCCTAATTACTCGTAAATTATCGACTGTATGACAAAATATTGTAAACAAAAGTTGCATAGTATCAAGGAGGACATATAATGCAATAATATGTTTTTTTACTATGTTCCTTTTTTTTCGAGGTGCAACGGTCACCTTCAGTTTTTTAAATGGAATGCCTAATATATCATCTCGAATTTCGATAAAGCATCAAATATTGTACAAAAAAGTATTGCATCATATAGGGTCTAAAGTGAATAGTTTCTAAGATATCGGTACATTTTTGTAACATGGTGAAATCCTTCCGATTAAAATGAGGCCAAACATGACATAATTTGGACCATATTCTTTAATTAATGTTAATATTATTATCAATAATATTAGTAATAAAATTAATATTAATATTAGCAATAATAAATATATTGTATTTAGATGTTTATTCTACAATAAATCTAAAAAATTCGATGTCATTCTGCAAATTGATAGTTACACTATAATTGTTTAAATTAACAACAATGGACAGATATAAACACCTTATAATGCGTCATTCGATGATAATACAAATTAGAGGATGCAGTGAAACGTTTCCCGCAAATGGGACATTCGTGCGGACGTTCTCCAGTGTGAATTCTTACGTGTGTGTTCAAGGAGCTACTCGTGCTGAACATTTTTCCACACACGGTGCAACCATGCGGCTTTTCACCTGTTAATTTAATTTATGTTCAATTAAAATTAAAACCATCTTTCTACGTACACACATTTAGTCAACGAATTAGGGTGTTCCAAAACAAATCTAAATTATTCCAATGTATTGGTTCACACAGTCGAATTATTCGCAGTGGAATTTAACGAAGTTTTAATAATATTAATCATTTTAAAACATGAAATATATTTTTATATTACAAATACTTTAGCAAACATTCTGCTGGGTTATTAATCCTTTCCATATTTTGTACCGTGAACTTTTCATTAATCAAACAATTTTCGTTACGGATATACTTGAGAAATTCATCCAGCCGTGATTCAAGTATTTCAGTACTATATTCAGTACACTTTTTTCAAAAACTGCTTCCAACCCTAACTCAACGAATAAATTAGGTCATTGCACGTGAATTTAACAAAACTGACCTGTGTGAGTCCGCAGATGTCTTTTCAGCAACGATGGTCTATCAAAATTCTTGCCACACGTCTGACAGGGCAAACATCTTTGAAATTTCGTGGGATTTAGCAAATTTAGTTTCCTCTCAGAGCCACGACAGCTTAGATCTAAAGGCATATCTTGCACAACGCTCCATACTACGTGTTAAATCAAACCAACACAAATTTCATCTTCAATCTAAATGTATCGGAGTCACTAATAATATTGCGTTAATGCAAAAAAACATTTTTATCATTTGCTTTACCCATTTCACCAGAGCAATTAACATTGACATCTGTATACATTTCTTAACGGTTAATTAAATCATTTATACATAGGCTTCATATAATTGTATTATTTAGTACTACTGCTTTCTAGAAAATTTATGCAAACTCTAGACCAGGTGTCGGCAACCTATGAGCCGCGGGGTCTATGTTAATCTATTATTTCTATATTCTCAAAGTATTTGTTTCATGTGTATGTTTATAATTTATTTTTATACATTATACTTTATTTGCGGAACTCAAGTGGGTCACTTGAAATTATCAAATGGGTCATTTGGTGACCGACGGGTCATAGGTTGCCGACGCCTGCTCTACACTAAATAAAGATGTATTAGAGAAATTAATGTACCTATTTACACAATTCTTGCAGTCATTTATAAAACACATGGCCTGAAGTGATCATAAAAAGGACCACATGCTTCCGTTTTATTAACATTGGTTACGTTACACAAAATTGTTTCTAATGTCTTTTTCAAGATTGGAAAGTGATTACCCCATGTCACCGTTGACTACAAAAATATTAACTATCTTTATATATCCCTGCCGTAAACACACCTGCGATCAGCAGTTTCACATGCCCCGACCCAACACATTTCAGAAAAATTCGAGCATTCCTTTACACTTGAATTAGAGAAAAAATCATTTTCAATTAGCCACGGAACTTACCGGACATTACAAACTTTTTACTATCTCCAAAGTAACGAATATATGCAAGCGAATCGCTAAATTCACCAGCGATAAAATTATCCCACACTTCGTCAAGGGATCTAGACACGAAGACGGATAAATCTGACTTAGGTACACACTATTCCAAACAGATTACAAGAACGATTTCAGACGACAAGGAGAGGCGCCTCATCGATGAGGGCGCATGTCGGGGGCGGTATTTTTTACAGAGGGCGGAGTTCCACCCCCCTTTGATTATGCACCGCATCGCGGGATACGAAAATACTACCAAACACCTTCCATTATTCGCTATACATATTAGATTATCATTGGAATTTTAAATAATTCTCTGTGAAATAACATAACTTCACTAATATTGAATATTTTTGTTCAAACTAATATGTATATACTATCGTTGATACAACCCGAAAGAATGTGATTCTACATACAAAAGTAAGTCAAAAATGTACAATAACATATTTTCGTAAGTTCCGTTTCCATAATCAATTTTTAACATTTATCTAACGCGTTAGCCAAATCCTATTCAGTTGCAATTGAAGTTGCAAGTTCAATTCAATTCAATTATCCGGCAAATTTCTAAATTCGATTTTCTTGAAATCGTAGCATCGTACGAAAAAAATGTCATTCTACGTTTTCGACTGTTCGACGATTTCGAAAACACTGTATTGAGAGTGAGGCACTTAACTTAACGATTTTGAATTATTGGTAAATGTGTTCGGAAAAATTTTTCGAACAAACGTTGCATAGTATCAAGGTGGCTATATGTCAGAATCATTAGTTTTTTTTCACATTGCTTATACCTCAAGGTTGGAAACGCAACTTGATGTCTGTAAATGGAACACCTTACATTTTGAACATTAAGAACCGAGTAAATAAGAATTAAGGCATAATAGGTCTACAGTGCGTATTTATTGAGATATTTTACTTATCGTTAGCTCGTGCGTCTGTCCAGCACGAGTTGTTTCTACTTCAATGTTCATAAAGAATGGCAAGAATATTTCACGATTGTTTGATATAGATTAGTAGTTACAGCGTAAGTTAATTATGAAAACAAAAAGTTTAGGAAAACCGAACAATGTTTTTTTATTTACAACTTAATAAAACCATTAACAATGGAATTAAATTTCTATATTATTGTCACTTTTGGTAAATAAGTCTTTGAACTAGTGAATTCATACAACATTCACAGTATCCACTGTATATAAAAGTGTACAAAATTTTGTATTGTTCATATTTCACATAAATAAAATAATTATCAATTTCTTATGTAACCATTTTCTGATTGTGTCCTAAATGTAGAAAATATAATTGTAAAATAAGTTAAAAATACTTTTGGTGCATGTTAACAATACCGTTGAAGAAAGTATATAAAACATAAAAATAAACGTCGTTGATAGTTTGTACAATAGTACAAGGATTACTTTAAGTTATAACAATTCAACGAAACAGTTTTGCGTCAAAAAAATATAGGTTTTTAAATGTGCTGAATAAAAGAAACGCAATATGGTTAATAATGTCGCCTTGCTCCATATTGTACTCCCTATGTTCCAATAGTGCCACCCGGTACCAAGAATGTTATAATGGTACCGTATTGCCACATAAAGTAAAAGTCATGAATAGACAGAACCATATTTCTTAAAAGGGTGTTCACGCCTAAAGAAAATATAATTATATACGAAGTATTTAATAACCTTACTGTAGACATGTAACAAATATAAATTAATCGTATAATATAATTGATTTTAAAGCAAAAATGTTCGTTAAGAGAAATAAGCATTAACGTAAGTAACTTTTTAATAACATGAACTGTACTTTTATGAACATCAAATTGCTTGCCTAGAATGTTAAATTATTAACTTTACAGCCTAACGTTGAATTAAAAACCAATTTGAACTGGAAATAATATTCTTTTAATCAAATAAATACTTGGCACAATTACATAATTATTAAATATTTTATTGTTATGAACTTAATGAATTTATCGATAGTTAATGAGCGTGACAGCCGTTTCATTCTATTAAAAAGCTTAGGAATCATTAAAAAGAACCATAAGTATCGCGATCAATGAAATTGTTATAAAGAACAATCTATCTTGGTTATGAAAATTAGAGTCGTAAATAAGCCATTTTGCAAATACCTAGGGCCCTATTCTAGTGGTTATTCTACCTTATGTACATTCATATTTACTACACAGAATATTTTATGATGAAACATCTTTTAAACGATTCTAATTCGTAATTATCCGGTTACAACAGCACATTTTCATCGATTAACAGTAACCGCTTCGTCACGATACTGTCGATTTTTCACAGCACTCGACCGGAGGTGAGATAATTTGTCGAATGGCATCGGGGCACCGGACGTCCCACAGCGTCGCTCCCTCGTTTGTCACCTGAGAGGATATTAACGCTATTGAAGTCTCCTCAGAATCATCACCAATCGCTCCTTCCATCACCATGCACGACAATACCCTCAATTTTCGTTTTATATATTACAAACGTTATCGTAGGTGATCGATCCTGAACAAGATACAAATAATAATTCAAAAAATAATTAATAATATTTCATCTCAAAAGCGACGTTCTGTCTTTATTAGTATTACTCTTATTCATCGTATCAATATAGAAAGAATACACTTTTTTATTAACAATGGGTAGGGGTAAAAGGGTAGAGCAATATACAGTGGCCGCTCGTTGATTGCATATTTCGGGGCTGTAGAGCAGGCCTGGCCAACCGAAACGTTACAGCGGGCCGCACTTTAGGTAAACATGCTTTTAAAAAACGTAATACAAATACAAAATGAATAAAACTTTATTGTTATACTATGATTCAATATAATTAACTATCCGGTCTTAATTAATGAGATATTTGTTTATCCTTTCTTTCACTTAATTTTTGTAAATCTATATTTATGTTCGACGTTGCAAATCTTACAATCAGAAACGGGGATAAGCTGCTAAATAACAGAATCGCTCATCCAGGCCCAAGGAGTGGGGGGAGGGGGCCATATCAGGTTGGTACTCTTCGGAGGCCTGATCATGCCATTCATTAGATACACGCGAAGGGGCCTGGATCCGATACCGATCAGCAAGGTGTATACTCGTAACCCGAGTCTCGGAAGTATAAAGAGCATCACTTTGCGAGATATCGGCCCAACGAGCCCTGTGAACATCGTATTCCGGAAGGCAGTCCATTTGGACGAAGCACGGGACGTAAAAATAAAGCACTACTAAAACAGGCCTCGCCTTAACGGGCACGTGCCGGTAAACACCATGATCCTGGACCACAATTGGCGACGGATCATGGGGTCGCTTGGCAGACGCTACAATGATCCGTGGTACGTCAGAGAGAGAGGGGGAGAATGGAGAATTGGTGCCGAAACCAAAAGACGGGAAACAACAGCAAGACCATTGGAAGGAAATGCGGGAGGCAGGGGAAGAAGAACTAAACGGGATGGAGGACGAGGAGAATGAGACGTGGATCAATAGCCCGAGCATTAGTTACAGCCCGATGACAGAGCTGGAAAGAGAGGAGTGGGCACAAATAGAAAAAGACATTATAATAAACTGCGAACTCGCGAGACTAACAGAGCAGGGCCTCACGGGGGGTTGGTCCGACGACGACGAAAAGTGGATCGAGACCTTCCCGAACTGGGCTCTGATACACGCAACAAGCGACGAAGGGGAAGACGAGAAGCCAGGCTGTTCCCAGGGAAATAGGGACACGTAACCCCCCACTATAAGTAGGGGGACACAAACACAGCAAGACGAATCAACAGAGGACACCGACACTGACACCACACCAACACCGCACAAAAAATTATAAAAAATAAAAAATTACAATAAAAAACCCTTTTCTTACCAAACAAACAGAGCATAAGATAAACATACACCAGTAAGAATAACATAACAGTTAGAAATAGAGGAGGACAATGGGCGAGGCTGGCCGCAGTCATGCCGAGAGTTCCCGTTGCCAGCCCTACGCCCGAGGATCACCGGGGGGTTTTTAGTGGGTCAAACCCCATATTGGCCGTCTCCGCCCTCAACGGAGGCGGTGCACCTTTTCAAAGTTTCCCCCCGTAAAAAAAAGGCCTCCTACCATTTAGTTTTGGGGGTTACTGAAATTTATGCCATATTAATATTTGGTTTAACATTTATTTCAGTACACTTGCGTCTGCTTGCGTCATTACGCATGAGATTTTGGATTCTGTCAGGAAAGAATACAGTAAAAAAGATATTGCACCGGTGTGTAAAATGTTTTAGGGCAAGGCGAAGTCCACTGGCATCAATTACCTGATG